CAAACAGGAGAAGCCAATCACAGGGGTTTGGGGGTTTCTGCATTGTTTGATCCCATAGGATATGGGTTTGGGGTGTCCCCCTTTCAGATCCATGTCTGGGATCCTTTCAAAGGCACAATTTTCTCCTTAAATTTTTTTTGGCTTGTTTGTCTTCACAGTGTATTTTGCTGTTCTCCAGTATAGAAAGCAGACATTTGTGTGAAAGGCAGAACTGCCTCACCTGGCTTCAGAGCTTGCAGTTCTCCCTTCCTCATTGAAACAGGCATCGATGCTGTTGTAGAGAATATCTAAAAAGGGACGGAGATAACAAGTGTGAAAGAACTGGCCATGAATAACTGCTGGGGTAGGGAAATTCAAGCCTCTTATTTGTGGAATTGCTTGTAACATTGTCATAGGAAGAGCCTCAGTTGTTGCTGGAGTCTCGGTCCCACATTTCCCGGATTAACACAGTGAAAGTGCATATCCGAAGGCTTTCAATTATTTTTATTTCAGTCTGTATCTGTCTCCTCTCCCCCAGGTGGAGCTGTGAGGCAGTGGCCTTGATTTCCATTCCAATTCGAAATTCTAATGCTGTCCTTCCTTTCACCTACCAGGAAAGGGCCTTGTCTTTAGAAAGAAAAGGGCAAAAAATAACTGTGTGTTTGCGCTTCTGGACACATGTATTTTGAGAGGAAAAAAATTCTCTTCAAAATCAGATCAGTTCTTAAGATAGTCTGCTGCCTGAAAGGGTCTCCTCCCAAGAGGCAAAACCCTAGGTTCATTTTCTGACCCATCTACAGCCCTGTTTTATGAGGAGGTCAGAGGTGTTCTGCACCAGACTCAAGTGAAACTGCTGCTTAATTAAGTGCTATCACACAGGATTCTCTTCCTGTGATGTTTGTTACCCTTTTACAAGCAAATTTGATGTAGTATCAAACCTCTCCTTCCTGCTCATAGGCCTGGTTCCCAAGGGGGTTTGCCATGAACCAAACAAGGATCTCCTCTGGACTAGGCTGAACACTGTGAGGCTCACTCACAGGGATGCTTCTTACGTATCTCCCAAGTGATACCCAGGCACTGCTCAAAACAGCCACAAATCCATCTTAAGTGATAAAGCTTCTATTACCTGGCAGCATCTTGGTGTGGGCTCTGTGCCTTTAAATAGTTGCTCTGCTGTGCTCAATGACTTGGAAATTTGCTTATTCTGTAATTAAAAAGATCTCAGATGGGAAGTCCTGAGCCTCCATCCGCTGGTTCAGCTTCTCCCTGCCTGACGCAGGACTGTTCAATAAATAATCTTTACAGCTGCTGCAGTACTAACTTCTTACAGATAGGACAAAAGGGAAAGAACAAAGCAAGAATATTCAGGTATCAGACTGGATCAGATGGAGAAAGAGTCAAGTCTGAAGGCCAGTGTCAGGATTTGTCCCTGTGGCTCACATTTGCTGCTGCAGTTTTCCATAAATCTGTTACAGCCACACATCATCTTGGCACCCACAAGAGCATCTCAGTTGTTGCTCAGCAGCAGAAGCAGAATGGCTGCAAAAGCACCATCTCTTTCTTCCACTTAGAAGTAAGAATTAAAATAGTGGCTCCTGAATCCACTGTGCTGGGGCAGAGGATAAGGGAGGTCTCAGACTTGTTGGTGTCTAAGGCTGCACCTCTCCAGCTGGGACAGCATTTCCCCACCTTTACCTTGCAGCCAGAAAAACGTGGGTGAGGCAAGGAGAGGTGATCCTGTCCATGTGGAGAGCAGCAAGTCAAGCAGCAGCATTTTGGGCAGGTTGGCAAAGCTGTTCTAGTGGCATTTGTGGGGTACCTAGGATGGGGTAACAGACACTGTGCCATCAGTGGGGTTTGTGCTGGGGGTTGTGTTCATGTGTCCAAAGGTGCTGTAAAATAACAGGGTGAGGCAGCTGTGTTTGTCATACACTGTTTATTTTTCATGTGGAGCTTTGCTGATAAATAGGACTGAATTAAAGCAACACTTGTGAAAAATAAAACCCAACCATGACTCAGAAGTGCAAAACTGCCCTCCATGTGTCCAGAGACGATGAGGTTCTGGTTTGCTGGAGACAGCACATGAATGTACCTGCAGGGCAAAGGCTTTAGCTTATTGATATCCTAAATGCAAATGGACACCTGGTACAGTATATGGCTTTGTTGCTGGGTACCCACCCACCTGTGACCCTGAGAAACATCTGATAAGAACAGGTCACTGGTGAGTTTTTCTCCAGTTCCCATCCACAAATTGTGGTGCTGTCTCCACTCAAACCACTGAGCAAGGGCTGCTGAACATTAAGTGCTGTGAAACTAAAATGAACAAAAAACAAATGCTAAAAGCCAAGAACAACAAATCCCTGCCCACCTCCATTGCATTTGGACATGGCTCGTCACATCAACAGCACCAGTAGAGAGCAGACAGTTCCCATGGTGGAGGAGTGGTTTGTGATGGGAAGACTTAAGACTTGCAAAGGATCAGAAAAACAAGTGCATCCCAGGTATGAAATTACAGTAACAGGTTGCCTAAGGCTGAGAAAGGTCTTAATTGCATCGTCCCATTGGGCGCACAGCTGGCAGCAGCTGAAGTAGCTGTGGCTCTCCCTTTGCACTTTCCACCCTATTTCCTGCTCATCTCTTTTTGCAGCTCTGTGTAAGAAGGAAATACCTTTATTCCAGATGATGAAGTGTGGCACAAGATGCTGTGTACTTGTACTTGTGGTCATCTGAGAAGAGTCTGGGAAAATGTTGGCAAACTAAAATCAGTTACCTCGTAGTGGGGGAGGGATGAAAGCTGTAGGAAACGAGCAGAGTGCAGGGCTAATTTCGTGCCAGGTACCAGGGTCTGTAATTTACCTGCCCAGAAAAGTATCTGGAAGGGATGGAGTGAAAGAAATCTTAGCTACCAACCTGGTCACACTCAGTGAGGTAAGGACAGCAGCCTGGGGGGGGCACTGCTGCCAGCAAGTACAACCACCCCATGTGCTCGGGCATCTTCTTCCCTCAGTTGTTTTCCAAGAGCCACTTGGAGCCCTCCTCTCCCAGTGTTTCCTGTGCTGTCTGTGCAGGGAACCAGCAAGTGCTGACTGGTGCTGCCCACAGCGGCCGCCGTGTCCTGGTGGGTTTGCAGTTCCTGGTGGGTTTGCAGTTCCAGGCAGCCGTGGCACAGAGTGATTTTGCTGCTGTGACTCACTGCCCGAGGCTGTGCCCAGCAGGCTGCCCATAGGACAGGTGGGCGGTGGAAGCCTTGTCCTGCTGGCCAGACACCAAAGCTGACGCTGGGCTGGAGAGCCTCAAACGTGCCCATGTGCTGAGGCAGCTGTGCCAGGTGAGCCTGGGAGCCAAATGGCATCACTGGTGCCCAGCCCACCACAGCACTGTGGGCTGGGGGCATTCCTGTGGCTGCCCATGGGACTCAGAAATCCTGCCAGTCTCTGCAGCCACCATAGCAGGTGCCAGCTGAGGGGCTGAACATGGAGCCAGATGTCAGGCAGGTCTGGCTTTGCCCAGCTGGAAGGACATCAGGGAAAGCTTCACCCATGTGCTCTCCCTGTGTTTCTGCTCGGGGCTGGATGGGTGTCATGGATGGAGCAAGAAAATCCTCGTGCCTAATCCCATTTAAAAGGCTTCATTTTTTCCAACCTTTTCTCCATGTTAAGGTAGAGGAATGGCCTCGGGATCCTCTGCAAGGGCAGTGTGTCAGTGAACACACCTTGGTGAGAGTTTGATGAGAAGTTTGTTGAACTGGCTGAGTACCGTGTGCCAACAGCAGCATTTTTTGCTTGTCGTTTGCTGATACATAGCTGGGAGCAGCAGGGTTTCCTAGGAGGCCACATCCCAAGGCCTTGGGATCCCATGTGGGTTTTTTAGAATTCACCAGTCAAAACCACAACCATCTTCAAACTATCTATTTCCCACACCACCACATTCCAGATAGGGCTGTCTTTTCATTTACTTTCTTTCCTTCGAAGTGCAAAGCCAGGGGGCAAACCAGAAGTGATCAGGCAGCTGTTCAGGCACTAAGAATGTGGAGAGCAATCTGATAAAGCAAAAAGCCTGACACTTTACACACACCCCATACAGAGGCTCAGTCAACAAGCAGCACTGAATATATTAAATGGATTTCCATCAACTCGCCTGGAGAGCTCTCCATTTCAGTGGTACGGTTTGGGCTCTGGGGCGGATGTTATTCGAGAAGAAAAAAAAGTAAAACTTTATTCCCTGTTTCTCAATGTATTTGCTGCAGCAAAGCCATTCTTTCATGTGCCAGAAGAGCTCAAGGTCAGCAGGGTCTGGTACAACTGTATCTTCTCCATCCATAGGCTGCAGCCCACACGTGCCTGTGTGCTGGGCCGGGATCAGGAGCTAGCAGGGCTCCTCTGCCAGCCCCCCTCGGTGCAGAGCTCCCGCCGGCCTGGCCTGGAGCAGCGGCTGTAAAGCAGCACAACAGGGACAGGACCTGGCCCACAGGTGTGTTTTTGTCATTCCCTGGTGCTGTGTCTGGCAGGCGCTGCTGGCTGGGCCTCCAGCACCGCCAGGGAGTGGGGATGGGATAAGCTCTTCCTGAGATCTCCCTTGCTGTGCTCCAGTTAGTTTTCAACATCTCCCAGAGCACGATCCCTGCTGTCAGAGATACCCCTGGTGTTCCTCACGCTTCTCCCCATCCAGTGGCTGAGTCCATAGCTTGTTCTTCTGTCTCATGGTTAAAAAAATATATCTTTATTTTTCATCCTCATCTCCCTCGCTCATGCTACTGAGGGAGGCAGAGGCAGCTTTTGGAGAAGAGGGAGGGGAGGCCTTATTGATGACCCAAGGTGGAGATGGAGAGCGGGATGGAGAGCGGCCTCGTGTGGGACTGCTGTTTGGGCTCTGCCGGGGAGAAAAAGCCTGGAGCATTCGGCCACTTCGTTCCTGGAACATCTGCTTCTGCAAAAGCAAAGTGAAAAGATGCTCTTTGAGTATTGCACAGGGGGGAAGGGATGGCTGTGAGCAGGCAGGGGCTGCACTGTGCCTCTCACCTGGGAGAGAGCAGGGAGCCAAAGCCCTGGAGCACAGCTGGTTTGCCTCTTCTCCTGTGCTCATAATAACCTGGCTTTTATGTGCAAGTTTTCACCTCAGCTGAGACACCGCCAGTGTGAGAACACTGTGTGTCCCAAGCCAGCTCGGGGGACTCCCTTTGTCTTTTTTGTATGCGTTGATCACACTCTTAAAAAGTCAGTTTTCTGCCTGAACACCAAACATTCCTAGTTCCCATGACCTTTTTTGCTTCTAGCATGCTGATACAGACCACCCTTCTCCTGAGCTTCCTGGCTCTTTCAGCCTTTATTCCTCTTTCCCTTCTTGAGACAGCCTTGTGCCTGCCAAATACTGGCAGCTGCTTCCCTAGATACCTGGAGCAGGCACCACTCAAACCCATAAACTGGGGGTGGGAATGTCAGAATTTGGGTGTCTGTGTGAAAAGAGAAACACGTGCAGGCTCTATGTTCTGCTTGGAGCTTTATTGTCATTTTTGCTTTGCAAAGCTGAGTGGAGGCCTGCCAGAGCTGGTAGGGTGGAAGAGACCACCTCTGCAGTCAAGCAATCTGCTACAGTAAGGCAAGTACCTCTACTTACTACAGCAGCTACAGGGCCTTGCATCAGCCTGCCGGGCTGGGCTACAGAAGATGTGGCATGTGCTGTGCAGCTGCTGCAGGAGTCAGGTGAAAAATGCCAAATCTCAGTGCCTTGCTGCTCCTCCTGGGGATGGGGAGCAAGAAGTCTCAATCTTGGCTGGAGCACTGGCAGTCAGGTCACAGGTGATGCTCGGCTGGAAAGGAAAGATCCAGCCCGGACAAAGTTAAGTTGCCATTCAGGTCTGAGAGGAAAATACTTGTGCAGAATGTATGCTGGATTTGCCTGTTTGGGCAGCTGCAGACTTGATCTTAGCTAAGTTTTCATCTTGTTCCTCTCCTCCCCTTCTCCCCGCAGTGACTCTGCTGTGTGCCGACCTTACTACCAGCCAAGGAGCCTGTAGCTGCCCATTTTGTTCTTCCTCCCCCTCTTTGAAACTTCCCTGCCAGCAGAGAGGCCAATGCTGATTTTCCCCTCAGGTTCCTGGTGTTTGCTAATCCCAAGTGTTAAAAATCGAGCACAAATACTGAACTTAACTGTTCCCCTGTGAGCTCCCTCTCCCAATTAACATCTTTAGCACATTGGCCTTTATTGACTTAGTTTTAGAGCCTGGATGTTGCTGCAGTGCGGAATGGCAGAACAGTTCCTGCCTGGAGCCACACTTACCAACACCCCACGGTGTGTAACCTACCCCTGCACAACTGCTAGGTCCAAAATAGCCAAGACTTCCTAAAATCTCAACAGTTAGCAGATGGTGATTGCTCCTGATAAATGGTGCCAGGAATGGGGGAGGATTTCTGTGGCTGAGAGCTGTGAGGATGTCACCAGGGCTGGCAAAGCCCCAAAGCCTGTTTGCAATTCAGTGGTAGGGGTGCAAAACTTTTCTTTAGATCACAGAAATTTGCAGTTCTGTTGGCTTGACTTAATCTGTTTCACCCTCTCAGTGAAAATGACTCCCAACAAAAAAATGTTTGATGTGAAGTATCTTTACCCTGGCCAACCAAAACACTTTGACTTGCTCCTGCTACTTCAGAAAGCTCAGAGGTATAGTGGTGCTCCATAGTGGTGTGGTACCAGTGCTGGGGGAGATCCAAGTGTCCCAGCTTGGCTGGTATCCCATGTGGCAGGGGGTATGTGGCTGTACCTTGGGTCATCTGGGTTAGAGATGGAAAGGGGAATCCCACCTTCCTACTAGGGCCCTCAGCCGGGCTTTAAGGACACCTGCTTCCCAGTCCCTGCTTCAGCAAAGGGTTTGTGGCTTGAACAAGCTGGTGTATTCACACCTTCAGCAGGGTAACTGCCTGGCCACTCTGAATTGCCTCCTGCACTAGTGCTGGATCCACCAGGTTTCTGGCTAAAACCACAACTGCTGCAGGAGGAGGAGGTGGTGTAATTCACCTGCCTCCAGAATGCATCTTTCCCTCCAGCTGTGCCCTAGCAGGGTCAGTAAGTCATACCCTTTGCAGGCAAGGTGCTCCTTGGGCTGTTGGGTGCTGAAGAAGCAGAACAAGTGTTAATGGCTTCCCGAATGCTGGAGGGTTAGACAAGGCTGGATGTGCTCTGGACCTTTACCAGAGGTGGGAAAATAATTTCAAAGTCTTAATTCAAGCAAGTTCAGGTACAGCCAATCAGTTCAGGGTTTCTTTTTGGCAAACTTGCTTCTGCGAAAAAATATTTCGCCCGTTTCTGAATCTCATTGTCTATATGTTGATATTCCTTTTCTTTACAAAGCAAGCGTCAGCCAAGTGTCACTTCTGCTTTTGAGCTGCTGATTATTCCGAGGCCATGTTTGGGTCCAGGCTGCAGACACATGGTGTGGCCTAGACACTGTCCCTGGGTTCATGTTGCAACCTGTAAGTCTCATCTGAGCCCTTGCTGATGTCTGAGGTGCTGCAGCCGTTTCAAGTGCAACCATCCCCAACTGCCTCTGTGCACTGCAGCCGACCCCTTGAAGGGACATCTCATCTGGAGGGACACTTCTGAGGGAGACTGGCACAGAACCCTGCCCTGTGAGCTTTGCTTTCTCTCTGCTGACCTCAATTGTAGGTGCCCGTTTGTGCCCGTCCGGGAGGAGGTGGAATGGACCCTGCTGCTTTCCACTTCCACGGAGTGGTGTCTCTGCCATTGGGCCCTGTGTGCCAGGCTGTGTGGTGGTCCCTTCTCACACCACAAGTTTCATGCCACATTATCATCACTTCTGACTCCTCTGTGACTCTCTTGCAGAAAATGTACATACAGGGGATTGCACAGGTGGGCAAAATTGCCACTGAATTATAGACATCTTGACATTTGAAAACTGACATTTTGACCTTTTTCACAAATGGGCATTTTTTTGTGGGTTACATGGCCCTTACTTTTAGGAAATTGATGCTAGCATAAAGCATATTATAATAATTATTTGTGAAATAATAATAGCATATTAATGGCATGCAAATTACTGATCTAGGGATCCAGCATGCCCGTAATGATTCCTGTACTTTTAATGTCAACATTAAAAGCAACATCTAACTAACAGTGATAAGGCAAATTAACGTTAATAACAGTTTTGACACTAATAGTAAGTTATCATTATTTTAAAAGTCTTTCCCGTTGCCAAGGCTAAAACTGATTTAAAAAAAGCCACACCACCTCTCAGCTTGCTGTCACTGATGCTTTTCCTGCAACACTGTGAGAAGATTTCACTCCTCTTGTTCTTAACAAAGGTCTCTATGATTGCACCAGATGTCCTACTCTGTGGTCAAACACTAACTCAGGAGATATCTTAAAAGACCTTTGCAGATCAGCTTTTAGCTAATTGGATTTGGTAAAATGTTTTTATCAGCAAAGGTTTTCTAAAATGCCATTAGCGTGCAGTGTTGAGTGGGTAGAGCCAGGGAATGGATTCAAGGATTTTAAATTCTTTCCTCTCTGCACAGCCAAACTCATCTCCCCTCCTGTGGATTTTACATGCTCTGTTAGCATTAGTTTTATTTATTCAGTACCTATGGCCACAGGACCATCCCACATGGGGAACACACATCAAGCTCTATGGGCAATAACTTACAGGGGAAGCTTCAAGTGGATGTGGATGATGCTGGCAAACCAGGGCATTTCATCAGAAGAGTTCCCTTCTTGCCCTCCCCAGGGAACATGACACTGTGAACGAACAAACTGCTACATAAGCTACATATTTATGTGGCTGAGGTCTGTGTTCTTCAGTGACCACCTGCCTTTGCATGGGACAGAAGTAACTGTAAGATTATAAAGATACAGTCTCTGTTCAGTTTTAGGGTTTTCTCAGCTGAGTGGCAATCAACACAGCAAGTCGTGGCAGTGCAAAGATAAGAACCCCAGTAACAGGCAGGTACTGTATGCTTTGGTGGCACTGAGCTGTGACACAGCAGTGAGGTGGGCGGCTACTTAATTCACAAGTCGTCTGTGATGCTTTCTAAGGGTTTGTTTACAAACAAAAACTCTGCTGAGATCCTTTCACCAGAAAACAAACTCTTTTTCACTCAGAGTTTGCAACCAGAGCAGCACATCTGAGATGGTGCCTGCACTGGAGGGTCTGGCTGGGCCTGGGCTTTCACCCAACACAGCTGTCCAGACAGCTCATTGGAAAGGGACCGACTCTCAGCAGGAAGGTCTAAGAGGGTTTAAACAACTGATAAATTCTACATTCAAACTGAGCTCTGTTACCAGTTGCAATGTTGCAAAGGGAAGTCCTACGAGAAAACAAAGCTTCTTGAGGTTTGGCAAGCTATCAGACTGAAAAATGGGGCCCAGAAATCTTTTGGGGCTCTGAAGTGTCACCAACTCAAAGTGTGACTTTGGTTGGAGCGGGTGAAAGATGCTGTTGCACGCTCTGAATTGCCTTTCCAAGGCACTTGGGGATCTTTAGGAAACAGGTTTTGTGAAGCCAGCATGTACCAAGGAGAGCTTTGCAAGTGCTTTAGTTCCACCTGAGCCTTCCCTGCTGGCAGTTAGATAAGCCTGGACACTTGACATGTAAAATCATTTCTTAGAACTTTCTATTAGTAGTGTTTGAAGTTACAAAATTGTCATCTTCTACTGCTGGGTACTGAGCATGAAGAGAACCACTGGAAATCTTTTCAATGGTCCTGTTTCCCTCACTACCACCAGTGTGTATCTCTGATGTCGGTGTGGTTGCATTTATTGCTAACAGGGCCAACAGACTGCATTAGCCTGTTTGCTCATGTGTTGCTGTTATGTAGCTCTACTGAATGCAGTATCCTGTTCAGCACCACACCTTCACAAAACACAGATATTATCCCAAAGAAGCAATAGCCAGAAGCAGCAAATCCTTCTGCTGCAGTATTGGTATACATTAATGGCTTCAGCAACCAGGTCTGGCATTAGCCTACTAATGGATTTCAAAACAAGGCTGCAGCAAACGTATCTGCTCTTGATCTGTGCTACAGAGGAGAAATAAAAACCACTCAGACTTCCTGGGGTGGCAGAATACCTACCCAAGCTCCGTCAGGTCCAAACAGCTCTAAAAAGTTGCCAATAAATTCCCTGGACTTTTCTTCCCATTTCTGAATGAGGTCATGGCTCTTCTCTTCCACCTTGTAAACAAATTCTTTTGACTTTTCCTCTACATTCTTGACTTTTTCTTTCATTTTGTCCACGTGGTTTTGAAAGCGGTATTTCTTCTCCTGTTAGAAGTGTGGTAAGAGTTTAATAAAAACTTTGGAAATAATTAGCCACTGACAGTTAAGAAGACAAAAAATTGCATTAATGTATCACAATACATATGACCTTGGTTAACTATTCCCATTAACCATTCCCCCTATATTATTATATATGCCACCCTATATTATTATAAATGCAAGTTTAACATCCGTGAAACAAAGTGCACAAGGTACATATTGAAAAGACTTCTTTTGTGACTACTGTGTTTAATCTACTACATGAACTTCCTGTATTTCCAAACTGAACACACTTTGAAAATTCTAGGAATCTTGTGCAGGATAGATGTCAGAAACTAACAGCTCAAGCTTAGCAGTGGGCAAAAGGCAAATCTCCCTGGGGTTCCTAGCAAACACTGCTGACTTGCCAGCCTGGATGTTAACTTGGACCAAAGTGTCTCTTCGGTTGGATTTGTGCAAGCACAAGGAAAACTCTCTTCACCTCCACACCTGGCTAATACAGAAGCTTCTGGCTGTAACACAGATGTGTGCAGGCCAGTGGATTGTGGCCAGCAAACTCCTAAGTCACACAGAAAAAGAGAGGGACAGTGAAACAAATATTTATGCCCTCTGATCTGTGATTTATCTGCCAGACTACAAAATAAGAAACAGGTAAACAAAACTCTCATGAAATGACACAATTCAGTCGTTCACAAGGGGGTTTCCCAGCTCCAGGGAAGGAGGTGGGAAGTCCTGCTGTGAGCCAGCTCAGCTACAAGGGAGATTTCAGTTATGTGGGTTATCTTGAGGCCTGAAATTAAAACTTGAAACAGAAAATGAAGGACAGTGAACTCTCGTTTCTCATTGGAGGGTAAGGGACAGGTCTGTATGTGGAAGATGAATAATGTGAGCCATCCTTTCAAATGTCGCTCTTCCCCTACCTATTGTGGCTTCTGAGCTATTCAGCATCGTTTATGTACCAGCTTCCTAACATACTTCCTTGTCTTTTGAAAACTATTTTTGCTTTCCCTAGTAATCTCACTGCTCGGTGGCTGGTTTTGTTAGGGTTTTTTTGGTTTGGGTTGGGTTTTTTTATCCTATTGCATTGTAGAGAAAGTTTGGATTTCAAAATCCTTGCTCTCTGTTCTGCCTTCTTGGAATAAAAAAAGAAATCTGGTGTTGGGTGTGTGGCTGAGCAGCCTGTGGTGAGGAGGTGGGCTCCCTCCTTGTGTGTCATTGTCACCTACAGCTCTAGGAGGAAGGAGGAGCAGCAGCTTTGTTAAAAGCATGAAAGTGTAAGATGGAAATGAAGCTGCTAATTAATAGGAGCAATTAAAACTACCCTCAACTTAACAGTTTCTTTTAAATTCTTTTAAACTGAGTTCTTTCCAGCTATTTTAAAAGCAGCAGGAGGAAGATATCCTTTGTCAACCCTTCCTGTACATTCAGGGTCCTAGGAGAGAGTTTTTCAGAGGGAAATGCAGATCAGTACTTACACTTATAAAGCTGACATTCAGCTCTTTGGCGGTGTATCCTCGTTGGAGGTTGCGCCGGGCGTACACGTCGTAGTCCCGGACAATCCTTGTGATGATGTCTGATGTGGAGATACCTTCGGTTCTCTGTGTTGGCACAAACATTCCTGAGCAAAGTGGGAAAAGAAAGCGTGCTCAGAAAGCACAGCAGGACCAGGCACTGGGGCAGGTAGATGAGGAGGAACACAAAATTGCCTGACCAAAGCTGAGGCTTCAATTCTGCCATATTCCTAGTTCTTTCCTGTTGTTCCTCTGTAAGCCTGGGGAAGGCAAGGTTGCTATACCATTCTTTTTCCTCAGGTCTTCAGAAAGACTGAAGTTTGCCCTCTGCACAGTGTCAGCTGTGATGTGGAACAACTTATTAGATCAGTAGGGACTCCTGAGCCAGGAAGGCCAAACTTCAGAGCTGTGGCAATTCACTGAGCAGTTCTTTTCATGAGCATAGCAGTTATTTAATGTTATATACAGGAGCAGGGTGGTTTGCTGCTCTCCTGCGTATTTCCACGCTCCCCTCCTGTGCTGCATTATCTGACAGTCTTTGTTCTGCTGAGTAAAACAGACCAGCCTCTGGCCTTGACCAAAGCCAGGAAGCCCCTTCAGGTAAAAGGTGCATTACAATCACTGGAAAACACCCTGGAGTTGCCAGTGGCCTGTAAGAGGGCAGGGAAGTGTAATGGTAGTGTGAACAAAAGGGGTTATACCATGGGGACTGTTTCATGACCACCCACCCATATCCGTAGCTGCATAACCACCCTCCCTGCCCTGACGAATCAGTCCCTAAGAGAATGGGCCATTTATCAATACTGCTTGTATTCTCCTCAACATGGATAACTATTGCTTTTTAATTGCTCCTCACTGAGATAGGATTACCTGAACTGTTAATGCAAGTCACAAATGCAATAACAGCAGTGCTGGCACACCTTGGCTTAGTAGTTATTTACGGCTACAAAAAATTACTACTATTACTTATATGTAATTGCAACATCAAGCTGCTGATGAGAGAGACAAAGCTGTGAGAGAAGACTGGAAATGGTTTTGAAAAAAGAAAAGTAATGCTTTGTCTTAAACACTGCTAAAGCTACTGGCAAATTAATCCACACACATTCACTTCAAGTAGGCAGGCATTGCTAGCTAATTTTACAGGGTTGGGAAAAGCCTCAGAGAAGGAATCAAGAAGCTTAGCAGCCTCTTGTGACTAAATGCTATGTGATATTTTTTCTTTCTGATCTCTAATTAATACTCTGCTAAAAAATAGATTACTTTAATCATGAGCAGAGATGTTTCTCTGATCGTGCTTTTCAGGCTTGCAGCAGTCACTCAGGAAACTATTTTTAGAAGCAGTGAAACCCATTTTGAGCCAGAAACCTTTATAGGTAGGAGCTACAAGAATACATGAACAAAATCCAAACCTTACCTTTGTTAATCCAAAAGTGGAACTCTATGCAAACATTACCTTTAGTCACTGACTTGGCTTTCATATGCTTCATGTGTTGGACTGATTCATATTTTCCAAACTAATTGTTCACAGATGTGCAGAGGTTTAGTCATTGCAGAGTTACCCAGCTCACTGTTGCCTATATGCTCTCCTACCTACTGAAGGGAGTGGGGAAATAGGAGCTCATGAGAATCTACACAAGGAACTCCACAGTTCCCATCCACTTTTGCACTCTCCGAGAACCTTATGTGGGAAAATGGAAGTACTGAAACTAAGGAAAATGCACAAATGCATCCACGGCACTGGTCTATTTAAAACAAAACCCCTAAGAGAAAGGGGAAATTCATTATTGTAATAATGCTGTTCTGGAGCATTAGGACTATTACAGCACTAGATCTCAAAACTCTTCACAAATAAGGTAACGCTATTGCCAGTTTATATGTAAAAAAATCCATCCACACAAGACTCAAGATACTTCTCTGGCATCTCGCCATGACAGACAAACAGCAGACCCCAAGTCCCTGAAGCTGCAAGTTCATACTCTATTCTGCAAACTCTGAATTTCTTATCAGGACATGTGCACTGCACCCCTGCCCAGTGACAGCAGAGAAGGGTGTGCCAGGTTTGGGCACTCTCACGCTCAGTCAGATGCAGTGACACCAAGGGCTCCTGTCATGTTGTCCTGTGTACTCAGCACCTTATAGAAGAAAAGCAAAATAGCTGCCTGTCCAGCACATGTGCTGGATGTCCCTTGGTCACCTGTCCTTACCAGAGGTGCCTTTTTTGCACTGCCTAGTGAAGTAAACTGGCATTGGCTCTGAAACTATAGAACAGTAGTTCCCAAAGGAGGGTTGTGAGTCTGACACCACAGGGAAGTTCACAAGTGGAAAAAGAGCAGGAACTGCTGCTATAAAAAGCTTTTTCCTTCAGCTCAGGTCAATACCTGGTCTGCCACTGTCATTGTATAGCTTGGGAAGGTGACTTTGCACAATAAATTACCACCAGGCAGATTGCTCTGGAATTTTTTAAGTTTCCAATATACATGTTTATGTAGACCAGATAGAGGTTGAATTCACCAGGGTTCAAAGCAGCATCTCCAGGAAGCAGGAGAAGAAAGTCATGATCTGTTCCTCCTCCCCCACTGTTCACTGTGTTAGGATACATACTGCTGGCAAACAGCGGCTTAACGTTATCTCCTCAGATTTAATTCAGCTTCCTTGAACTGCAGAGATACAAACTCCTAATGACTTCAGCATATTCATGTTCAGTGTAATATGGTAGTCAACCAAACTGCTAAATATGCATGGCAAATGAATTACTCTGGTACAGATTTAAACCCTCTGCCAGTGTAATGAAAAGAACCCTCAGTGCAAATCAGAAGTGGATCCTAATGACTCCTGAAGGGTGCCTGTGCTTGCCCATATTTAGGACTGGGATGTGTCAAGGAGTCATCAGTTTGCAGTTATCAACAAATGACTGAAGTTGGCTGGGCTGCTGTGGGAACTAAACTCATTTTCCTCCATTCAAAACTCTTAGTCACCATAAAATTGTTTTAAAAACCCAGATGGGACTCTTTCATGCCAGATCTGAATGGTTTCCTTGGGGTTATGGCAGGAATTCAGTCAAGGACATCCTTTGTGGTTTTACAAAGTGCATCTTTCTGCTCAAGTCAGGAGTACCTACCGTTAGGGTGTAAGAGAATGTGATATTATCTCTACTGCTTCTCTCCCAGCAGTTGTGGTTAAAAGGCTGTAAAAGAATTTGAGCTGAGGCTGAAAAGGAAGGTGCTAAAATGTGAAGTTGCCCTTACCTGCCTCCTTTATGTGTTTGTATACATCATCCGAGCCAGCGGAAGAGTACGGGATGTCATCGTGGGCTACGAAGTCAATCTGCCAGCAAACAGAAGAAGAATCACATCCCACCATCACTGAATTTGGTTCACTGGGAGGCTGTTGTGGAGGATCATCTCATTCCTTGACTTCAGCTAACTTGCTTTTGACATTCTCATCCTAAAGCCATCACTTAGAATACTGCACTAGGTTTAGGCCTGCAACTGCTGTGTTGTGTGATCCATTATGAAAGAACAGAAAGCTCATCTCCAGAGGCACTGCCATTACCACATCACTGACTGGCTCAGTGTGATGTGCTGTAGAAAACCTAAAATTCATGTGCCTGCTTTTATTGCTACTGGAAAAGCTAAAGCAAGTGGCGAAGCCTTGGCCTTCAAAACCATGGAGGCAGGATTATTGATTCTGGCTCCTGAGCATATATACATGTATACTTAATACTGTCATACTGTCACTTTGACACTGAGTGATGGGGACACTAAAACGCACCCTCGTTAATTATGCTTTTGTTAAGATTCATTCACGCAGAAAGAACCGTGTCTTGCAGAATACACCATCTAAGGAGTCTTTCTGCTGTGCCTTTTGCAATCGGTTATGTCTGTCTCATACTGGCCTCATAAGCCACCAGCGTGCCTGTAACAAATGTGGATAGAGCCTTCCCAAATCTTCGTTCGCAAAGCCCAGCCATGATGATGAAAATTCATTTATGTTGCAAGGCAATCAATAGCATGTAAAACACTCTATCCTGCCTTTTAGAGGACATAGGGTATTTTTACATATTGCACTCTTGCCATTAATAAGAAACATGCCTTTAATTCAGGACTTCAGTCACTACATGACAAACTTTCCTGGTTCATGATCTTTTCTGAAAGTCCATTTGTGAATAACTCTTCAGTGTTACTTTGCCCTTAAAAATCCCAATACAAACATCATCACAGTACATTGAGAAAAAAAAGTCAAGACAAATATTTTCTGACAGAGATGGAGGCGAGCAATGGTATGTATTTAATTTCAGTGACTAGAATTAACTGAATTAAACTACTAGAATTTCACATGTTTACTCTTAACTGTCAGTGTATGAAGGAGAAATAAAGGGAGAAATGTACCTTATGTTTTTCAAGGAACTCGGGTGTCAGTGTCCAGGGTGCATCTCTGATGACCTCATCCACGTAACGACAGTGTCTGAGGGCTTCATATCGCTCCGTTTCATTCATCACAGTGAAGCCTTTGAATTTATGAGTTAAATCATCACTGCAAACTAAAATATGGAAATATCAGCAAAATGGGTCCGCACTCAGCAAAATTAGCATGACCAGCAGTTGATTATTCCTATATAATTCCATTAAGCACTTAATTATTAGCTTAGCAATTTTTGGTGTGCTCCAGGGCATCTAAGAGTTCTGCTCAGCGTTGGCAGGTACAGCCACATACTTCTGAAAGATCCTTCCCTTTCTGGAGCTGCAGCCAGAGGCCAAAGGAGATATTGTAGGACATCTCAGGTGGTACCATATACACATTAAGGTAAATCAATCCCATGGTAAGTGGGGATTTCGTGGGCTGTGAAGTTTCAGGAATGATAGCCAATGCTTTAAAACCAATGAAAAAGTGCAGTGTGGGCAATCACAGAGTTCTCACTAACTCCCTGTATCACAAAATGGCTGAGGCGGGAAGGTACCACTGGACATCACCTAATCCAAACCTCCTCCTTTCAGCAGAGCCAACTACAGCAGGTTACTCAGGCCATGTCCAGTATATCTGAAGATGGAGACCTTTCAGCCTCTCTGGGCCTCCTCTTCCCACTTTTCATTCTCACGTAAACAATGCTCTAAATGACAAATTTGCCAACAAAGCTCAAAATCACAGTGCAACAGTTTCTCTACTAAATAAACACAGATGGAAAACAAGTTATGGCAAATTTTATAGGAATTTGTCTCCAAGTTTAGCTTGGAGTTCAGCAGGTTTCACAGAAAGAAAAGTAAAGCTTGTGCCATGCTTACATGGGAAATCACAGAAGGATGCCCCAAGGAAAGGACTGGGAGAAGCCATATGCTCTAGTGAAATGAGCAGAGTTAAAAGTCCAAAAATCCTGCATCTTTAACTCTGGATGTACCAATACTTTTGTCACATTGCTTTTATAATGAGAGGAAGTAACACTCACGTTACCAGAGGACTGTAAAAGTTAGGTTTTATCTTTCTACCCACATAATATGGTGTGAAACAGTGACCTTCTCCACAACCGTAAGTCTGTCCAATATTACAGCTACAACAGTCATTTGACACCCCTCATGGAATAATGTGATACCCATTTATAGCTGGGTTGCCAGTGGTTGTCCTTCACACAGGTCAAACCTGTGCCTTTAGATCTCACTTGTAATGAGAGTCTGTAAATGTACTTGACAAATGACAAATGCAACATTATTAGTGCTGCAGGGAAGTGCAAGAGCAGCCCTACAGCTGCTGCTTCTTTCTAATTTGAAAACATCAACCTATGAGGCAAAGCACTGGCAAAGATGCAGCCTTTTTGAGATCTAAAATAGATGTTCTTGCTGTGATGGCCATTAAGGGCCTTTAAAGTAGGAAAAATGTAGGAAGGCTCAGGTAGCCCTGGAGCCTGTGCAAAATTCAAAGCCAGCTAACAACATACGTATGAATTTCAGCTACTGAAATGCCACTCTATCCTATTATGTCATTTCTGATGCCTGCTGACAAGAAATTTAATGGAGATCAAAGCATTCTCAGTAGAAAGATCCCTTCTGAGACTGTATTTGTATTTATTTACAGCCTTTATGCCATCTTTAAGCTACCCTCTCCTGGAAGAAAAGGTCTACTAAAATTATTGGAAAATAGTAATTTTTTCTTGAATTCTGTAGAAAGGTTTGATTTTATTTTTTGATCACTGTTCATGTACAGTGCAGACACAGCATCTTCGTACTTCCTTTTGATTCTGTCATCCTGCTCTAATGACTGATTTCGGGAGGTATAAACATCTATTTATAAAAAAGTGATCTTAGGTCCAAATAATTATCTTCAGAACAAGAAATAGAAGGGGTTGGTTGTGGTGCCCACAAAGACACATGACACCGGTGCTCTTGCAGCACAAATTGCACGTGGGTGTGGGAAGGTACCCCTTTTTTAAACATGCTAACACAGAGTGCCTTGCAAGGAGAAGGTGCTGATGAGTGCTGGCTGCTTTGTCCTTCACTCCAAAAATAAGGGCAAAGTGAAGCTATTCCATGAATTTCAAAGGAGCCAGGCTTTTGCCCCAGTGCTCCTTCCCTTATCTGGGACACTCCCCAATCCTTTCAAAGCAACAACGAATGTTCATAACTTGTATTTTTATTAAACCTGACAGTCTTGCACCTCCACTTCCTTCTTCTGCAAGTTGCTTGGCTCAGCAAGAAAACAAGAGAGTTCTTAATGTTTTGTTCATAACAAAGGGATGTCTCCTTTACCTCCCAGGAAGCTCCATGGGAATTGCCACAAATCATAAAATTGAGTAAAACCAAAAAGTATGTTTATAAGGCGATCTTGTTTTGCTCTGTGTTGGGTCTTTCCCCTCCTCCCTTTCAACTCATTTGGGAAAAATATGCAAAATAATGCATCTTACAGTGCCTGAAGGTTTAATTCATGTTTGCTCTAAGCACTGGAGCAGCTGAATGAAGGTTGCTGTGAAATGTTTCTACAAGGCATCTCAATCCAAAAGGTGCAGGGAAACTGGAACCAAACCACACATTTTATGAGGCCTCATGAGAGTGGGGCCTGCACAGCCAACTGGGCAGGAAAGAGCCACTCTCCAGCAACTCTTCGAGCACAAGCCAACAGCTGAACAGCTGTTAAAGAGATGCACAGTGAGAAAACAAGATATTCATAGGAAAAAAAAAAAAAAGGTAAGAAAGTAACCTGCCCAGGGACACTTGTGAGCTGAAAACTACATTCAACTCATGACCTATGTTTGGGTCTTCAATGACAATGGGCCAGACTCAGCTTCTCTGATGAAGTCTGGACCTGGCAGGCAGGGGTCATGGGCTGTGCCTGGCTGGCGAAGGGACTAAGGAGCCAGAAATAAATGAGCAGTTGTTCTCATTCACTCATCTCCAAATCTGAACAATTTTGAGCAAATAACTGAAAAAGGTAAATTATTCATATAGAGCTATTTTAAGCTCAGAGTCATGCAGGCACCTGCTTTAACTAGAATGGGAATTGTGCCTGTGCTGCTGAGGGCAGAATTTGACTTTTACTTTAATTGATGCAATTGTAAGATGTAATTCAAGGCAAATCACCTATAGAAAGCCCTCGGAGGGAAAGCAGCATTCAAGTCAGAGCGTATAAACGGCTGGGGGTGCATGCTCAGCAATAACTCCCTGATACTTAAGCACAGAAGCAAAAATCCAGTGCAATAAATAACTCTAATCTTACCTCCTACTAATAAGTAGCTATTTGGGAATAGAGTTTTGGCTTGCATAAGAGCTCTAGCATGGCCAGCGTGGAAGAGGTCAAAAATCCCATCTGCATATACTCTGACAGGTCTGTCAACTGTGGAGAGAGAAAAACAACAGTGATTTTTTCAGACCCCAAACGAGTTGCACTTAATTCTACTGGATAGGTTTTTGTTCCCAGATCAGATGATTGTGGATATTTACCCCAGCTCTGATGTTCAAAAGCAACATGGGTGAACTCGCAGTGTTTCATACTGCACATTACTCGTTCTTTGCACTCTCTGCTGTTTTCTCTCAGACTAAGCCTATTTATTATCATCCATCATCCCCTATTCTAATTTAGCAAAAATGTCATCTTTCTGCCTCATTTGGAGTTCCACCATATGTCTTGTTCTTTTCTCTCTGCTTTTCTAATCAGTTTTGCCTTATGGATTTTTCCCCATCATCTCCCTTTTCCTCCCCTCTTCCCCATGGCTTGCTTTTTTCCACAGCTTACTGCTGTAAAAATGTATTGCTTACCTCTTCTACATAAACCTTTCACTTCCCTTTTTTCCCTTTATGTGAAATCATCCTGCTTCCTCAGCCCAATCACACATGTCCAGATAAAGAAATTGGCATGGTTTCTTGCAAAGGGCAAAAGACCTTTAAGGCCTCCGAAGGTCTGATGTAATCAACAGGAACATCAGTGAAAAAAGAGTTTTCCAGCATACAGAGGCAGTATGAGAAGAGAATCCAGAAGGTAGCCACTACATAATACAATTTTCAGGCTGGCTGGAGTGGGCTAGCAAGACTTCTTTCCAACAAACATGCATTCACAAAAACATCAAACTCTAACTTGAAAGGTTTTGTCTAACAGGAGATAACAGTCCTGTAGTTGTTGGTTTCTTCTCCATTACCTGCTAGCACCAGATTTCAGGCTGGCCCTTTTGCTTTTGAGTGGAAGGCACAAGTGAGCATTAATTATGTTGTAAGGAAGAACCTGTGCTTTGGGAGTGCCCAGAGTCCTGCGGAAGCAGCTCTCTCCACATACCTGGAGTTCCCAGGCGGGCTTGTGCAATGGTTAGTTTCTCATGGGGAGCTTGGCACTGACAGCTTGTTTCATCAGCAAACGGAGCAGGTGCCGTCAGGGTCTGGAAGGAGGAAAACAACATAAAGAAAGTAGATGTATTATTTCCACCAAGCAGTTACAAAAGAACTGTGGCAGGATGCTGCAACCAGGCTTAATGCTGGTTTGGTCTCTGGGGATTTTTGCTTTTTGGTTATCCCTGAGCAGACACAATTCACACAAGGTAAAATGATGAGGAAAATAAAGCTTTCCAAATACACCATGCAACTTAATTCTTTGTCTCTGTTAGAGAAGCTCACGCATTTTTGAGGTGGGTGAAGGTACACAATTTTTCTGTTTGCAGAACAAGTCAGGTTTGATGGCCTGAGCAGCTTAACCCTTGACTTGGTCTCAATGACTCCATAAGCCCAGGATGAAAAATGTATTCTGTTACCTGTAAAAAATAGCTGGATAAACTAATTAGGATTTAGTAAGCTGCAAATGAGCCACCTCTTAACAAGCACCCATTCCTTGCACTGGCATCAGTACAGATAACTGGTAGTACAGGTTGTTTTGTTGAGGTTTTAATAAGAATGTCGTATAATTTTGAGGAGCTATTCAAAATAAAGGCAAGAATGCAACCTTAAGTCCCACTTAACTAGAGCTGACTGAGCTGCAACTCCTTTCTGGTCTGACACATACTGTAATAGCACTAAAATACTCTAACTGTCAGCAGAGCACCACAAGGGCACTCACTCTGAAGAGCTTATAACCTAAAGATACATGAGACAGAGTGAGGATGTGTGAAGACTGATGTGGCATTTTCTGTCAGGAAACCTGGTTACAGAAATTGTATTTTCTGCCCATGCCTATGTAAGAAGTTATCAACCATCAGACCCTCAGATATTTATTATCTACCATATGGTCTGATATGAAAAAACCCACACTTCTACAGCTTTTGGCTTGAAATCCTTACAAAATCATAGCGGAGTTTTGGTTTGATTTGTTTTTGTGAGATGAAGTGGTGGTTGAGACACACTGAAGGAAATCTATCACTTACTTTGCCTCCACCATGATTTAAGTGGGACCTCGTGGCCATGCAGCTGTGACCTGTCTGCGTTTTCACAGTGACCACTTGTGTGATGTACAGTTGTCACAGCAGTTTGAGCACCAATGGTTGATCATACCAGAATCTTTTTGACTTTACACTTTTTTTTCAGATTTTTGATACTGAATGCTCAATCACTGAGCATTTAGCATTCTTTAGCATCCCTGAGACACTTGAAGATGTCATGCCTAATTGCTGCTGATCTCAGGGCTCATTGGTTTGTTGCATGGAAAGCCCAGAGGACAGTAGTAAAACAGCAACAAAGACTTAAAGATTCACATCCAGTTCTTTCTGCTGATTTACTATTCATTTTGTTTACTGAAAGCACTGCAATTTTATGTAGGTTTCTTATTTTTCCTTTCCATTTTTCTTTAGTTTTTTTTTCCCATTATCTCAAATGTTATAGGAAATCACCATCGTTAGCATCTTAGTGATGAAAATCACAGCATCTCTGCACAGATAAGGTTAAAAATGGAGAAACTATGACCAATCCAAGTTTCTGTCTGGGTTTTGTGGATGGGAACTATTCATCAGGCCACCCACGCTGCACAGGGTAGAACATTACACGTAATCATACAGTGCCAGCTCCTTCCTTTATTTTCTAAATACTGTCTTTTTGCTTCTGGCTTTGCTATCACTGGGTGCTAATCTGTCTTTTTATCTCCAAGCAAGGTCAAGTTACATGGCAGCCCATAAAGCCTGGTTCCTGCTGGGATAAAGAGGAAGGCAGAAATGTTAAAACAATAATGGCTATGGTCTGAGGCCTGTAACTGGTAATCAGCTCCTAGCTTGGCAGAGGTTGTTTCCTTGGAGGTTATTTGAAGAAAATAGGCCTGGTTTGCAGGAAGATATCTCTTTTTCCCCACAGGCAAACACCGTGGTGCTTTTCATCCATGTAACCACCTTTGCAAGACCGAGATTTTTCTTTCAGTCTTTGCTCAATGGAGAACAACCTCTATTAGCTTCCCATCAGTCCAGCTTTTGTAAATGCTCATCATTAAAGCCCACTTTACAGATCAGGGCTTAGAACCAGACCTGTCAATATTCCCATTACTCTGTGACCTCTCAGTTGCTGGATATGAAAATAAATCAAATGCAATAGATTTAAATCCACAATATCCTATCAAAGCCATATGGAGAAATGCATAAATGCCATGTGCTGACAGATCAAAGGAATTATAGCAATAACTTCCCAATGAGTATTCAATACTATTTTGTTTTATCTGGCCTAGAAAAATTATTGCTAAGCTTAACAAAAACATCTTATGAGTAAAATGAGACCACCTGGTTTGTATATAAGACCATAAAATAAAATATTTCAAGAATTTTTTAAAAACCAGATATAATTTATCAAACCTCTTTTAGTTTGTATATAATTACTTGTATTTTTTCCAGTCTCTTGTCAGTAATAACTAGAATTGTAAGAAGAGAGCAAGTAATTTATATAGCAGCTTTTTCAGTTTGGTTAATCCATTACAGTACTTTTACAAGTTTGCTATAGTTTTGACAGTAATCAGATGGTTAGACAAAGATTTTGTGCAAATGTACTTCTCTTTGTCATATTTTCCCCTTCATCTTTGTGTTATTTATATTCTAGACATTTACATTTTGCAATTAGTCAAGCAAGTGAAATTAACCTTGTATTTTGGACCAAGGTAAGTTTCTGAGATCTGCATCCTCCTGTAGCAGGGTGGTCTACAGTCTAAGTGTGATTTCACTGATGAATTATCTCATTTTGTTTTTCAGCACCTGCCTCCTTCTTGTATTATTCGCTATTCTTGTAATGGAAGCTTCAATAAGTTCATCTGCAGTCAACTGTTCCCTACCTCACTTTTCTCCCCTGAGTCACATTTTCCAGGCTGAACAGCTTTACCACATTTACTTGTTCCTTCTACGGAAGCCAGTCCATAACTTTAACTTTGTTGCCCTTCTCCATTAACTGGAAGGTTGTTCATACATTGTTCAAACCAATAACTTTTCCAATTACTAGAGCTTTAATAGATAGGAATAGAGAATTATTTTACATGGTGCTCACACTTGTGGTTATCTTTGATGACATAAGCACCACACACCTGGTGTCAGCAGGGAGACCTTACTTTCATTTAAGCAGTCCAAATGTGTTGTACTTTTAGTTAAATGGGAAAGGTTTTCAGTTGATTTTTTCATACCATCATGTAGTTTGGAGCATGGGGGACTTCTCTTCAAACAAGATATCCTTCTAGGTTTTGTTTTAACCTAGCGGGGAGGGGGTGGCTAGGTGATATTTTCTGCTATTGTTTTTTTTTGCTTGTTTTTGAGGTTTTTCCATTTTTTAGTAAAATTATTATTTTTCCTTCTTCATTCAGACTCCTCACAATTTCTACTTTATCAATATTTGAGGGGAGAGAAATAAAAGAAAGAAAAGGAGGGTTTATCTCATTAGAGGTCTCACCTCCTGAACGTATTATTATTAAACCAAGACAAAATGCCACAACATTACTACATTATTAACATGTGAGAGAAAGCTTATTACATGTCACAGATGGAGAAGTCCTTGTAATATTAGGACTCATTAGTGATATTTACTTCAGAAGATAATAAAAAACTCTTTCAACATGAGTCGTGTTTCCTGAAAACAAAGACACTGCATTCAGTACTAACTAAATTCACTTCCTAAAAACAAAGGTATGCCAAACCATCCTACTCAGTAATCCTTGTCTATCAGAAGCTGTTCATTCTATGAGAAGTTTAAATAGTGTCTTCCTTTCTATGAAATTTGCAAAAGAACGGAATGATGTTCAATAAACTTCAGGACACGAAAAGATGGAAGGCAGGTAACCAGGGGCTTCCCAGCAAGCACCTCCCAGCTCCATGTGCACCCAGCAATGTCTTTGTAACCAACGGCTCTATTTAATGGGACAGTAGCCCCAAGGGGAGAGCACAGTGTTGTAGGCAGCCCTGAGCTGGTTCTGGAGTGGGATACTTCATGAAGAAACCCTCCATGACAGCCAGAAGCAGCTTAATTTCAAGTGTATCTTGATGCTGACTTTTTATTATTACTCTTCGTAGTCTCTTAGGCTACTGTAGCCATTTAACTTAGCTCCAAGCCATTGGATAAACATTCATGCTTATGTTTCCAATGGATTAAAAGGAAAGTTGTCAGTGATTTGCAGGAGTCCTACCACTGAAATAACAGGCCAAAACCACAAGCACTTCCACATCCTCTCTTTTGTTTACAGCCTGTTGTGTTTTTGTTTGCTTGTCCTCTGTATGTTTGGTTGTTGGGCTGGGTTTTTACACAGCAGCAAGGAAGACAGAAACGTTTTTTTTAAAACAGGCAAATGTAGACCCACCCATGCCATAGTAACTCTGCCTGCAGTGTGACTGCAGGAAACACAACTAATGAAGGAGCTACTCTATTTTTTTATTCACAGAGCTACACCACATCCCTCACCCCATGACACAGACAAAAATGCTGTCGTCTTGGCAAAGAGAACACTTGCATTGTCATCTAAGATTTTGCCATCAACAAAGGTCTAAGGAATTTCAGATCTTGAACCAGTAGAGTTACACAGGCAACACTTGGTAGAGCAGGCCGAGCCTGTACTTATGAAAGAATTAAGCTGGCAGGGAAATTCTGTGGGAAGTCTAATGCTGTAATCGCCTTTTGTCTCAGAGGCAGTACTTAAAACAGATAAGTGATTTCACTGGAACAAATCACTTGGATAAGATCTAATCATATGAGGAACGATTATTCTGGGAAGCTGCTCCTGATGTTGGGAAACAATAATTACAGAGCAGGAGACACTGACATCAGTTTTAAGGAACATTTAAGACAAAAACCTAACAAATATATTGAAAAATAACTAAAAATATGTGCCAAGTTTCTGAGGTGTGAATGCTCTTTTCAAGTGGAAAGACCATGTTAAGGAGTACCAAGGTCTTCTCCTATAGGTTTAGGAAGTGAACACTGTCAAAAATTAAAACCATGTTGTCTC